ACTGAACCAGGACTGAAGCAGGACTGAACCAGGACTGAACCAGGATTGAATTAGGACGGAACCAGGATTGAACCAGGACTGAATTAGGACGGAACCAGGACTGAAGCAGGACTGAAACAGGACTGGACCAAGACTGAACCAGGACTGAAGTAGGACGGGAGCAGGACTGGATCAGGACTGAATCAGGACTGAAGTAGGACGGAAGCAGGACTAAAGCAGGACTGGACCAAGACTGAACCAGGACTTGACCAGGAGGACTGAAGCAAGCTTGAACCAGGACTAAACCAGGACTGGACCAGGAGGACGGAAGCAGGACTGAAGCAGGACTGGACCAGGACTGGCCCCATCCCAATATAAAACACAGAACCAATTATAACAAACAACATCAAAACCAGCCATGTTCACCTCAATGGATTTCATTACATACATTAGCTCCGTTAGTTGTGGCTAGAAACTTACGTACCCCAGCTTTAATAACCAAAACAGACTCATCCTCTTAACTTATCTCTCTCGCTCTCAGTCAATGAACACGTGAGGAACTGTCGGGCCATTTGTACAAAGCGTGACTCAGCGATGACACAGAGAAAGTCATCGTGAAAACAACAGATCCGTCTCCTTCTCTTTTCTCTCTCGCCCCGACCCAAAGTGAAGGATTACGACCCCAAAAACTCACCACTGGAAACTTTTAGCCGAGACTCGAGCTGCTGATGCAACCCCACATCCAAAAGTGTTCATAATTCGTGACAGTGACCTAAGTACTGGGCTCAGGACTCGGAGGAGAATTGACTAAATTGACTCTTTTTAAAAAATGTCAGAAACGATCGAGGCAAAAAGTGGAAGGTGCCAATTTTGTTGTGAGCCCTTAAACCAATTTTCATCATTTAGAGACTTTTGTTTAGCTGCAAAAGCACACACACGTATACACGTACACACACACAATCCTATACACGCATGCACACACGTACAAGTGGGGCAAAAAAGTATTTAGTCAGCCACCGATTGTGCAAGTTCTCCCACTTAAAATAATGACAGAGGTCTGTAATTTTCATCATAGGTACACTTCAACTGTGAGAGACAGAATGTGAAAAAGAAATCTAGGAATTCAAATTGTAGGATTTTTAAAGAATTTATTTGTAAATTATGGTGGAAAATAAGTATTTGGTCACTTCAAACAAGGAAGATCTCTGGCTCTCACAGACCTGTAACTTCTTCTTTAAGAAGCTCTTCTGTCCTCCACTCGTTACCTGTATTAATGGCACCTGTTTGAACTCATCTGTATAAAAGACACCTGTCCACAGCCTCAAACAGTCAGACTCCAAACTCCACTATGGCCAAGACCAAAGAGCTGTCCAAGGACACCAGGAAAATAATTGTAGACCTGCACCAGACTGGGAAGAGTGAATCTACAATAGGCAAGCAGCTTGGTGTGAACAAATCAACTGTGGGAGCAATTATCAGAAAATGGAAGACATACAAGACCACTGATAATCTCCCTCGATCTGGGGCTCCACGCAAGATCTCATCCCGTGGGGTCAAAATGTTCATAAGAACGGTGATCAAAAATCCCAGAACCACACGGGGGGACCTGGTGAATGACCTGCAGAGAACTGGGACCAAAGTAACAAAGGTTACCATCAGTAACACACTACGACGACAGGGAATCAAATCCTGCAGTGCCAGACGTGTCCCCCTGCTGAAGCCAGTGCATGTCCAGGCCCGTCTGAAGTTTTCCAGAGAGCACATGGCTGATACAGCAGAGGATTGGGAGAATGTCATGTGGTCAGATGAAACCAAAGTACAACTGTTTGGTATAAACTCATCTCGTCGTGTTTGGAGGAAGAAGAATACTGAGTTGCATCCCAAGAACACCATACCTACTGTGAAGCATGGGGGTGGAAACGTCATGCTTTGGGGCTGTTTTCTGCTAAGGGGACAGGACTACTGATCCGTTTTAAGGAAAGAATGAATGGGGCCATGTATCGTGAGATTTTGAGCCAAAACCTCCTTCCATCAGTGAGAGCTTTGAAGATGAAACGTGGCTGGGTCTTCCAGCATGACAATGATCCCAAACACGGGCAACGAAGGAGTGGCTCCGTAAGAAGTATTTGAAAGTCCTGGAGTGGCCTAGCCAGTCTCCAGACCTCAACCCCATTGAAAATCTGTGGAGGGAGTTGAAAGTCTGTGTTGCTCGGCGACAGCCCCAAAACATCACTGCTCTCAAGAAGATCTGCATGGAGGAATGGGCCAAAATACCAGCTACTGTGTGTGCAAACCTGGTAAAGACCTATCGTAATCGTTTGACCTCTGTTATTGCCAACAAAGTATTGAGTTGAATTTTTGTTATTGACCAAATACTGATTTTCCACCATAATTTACAAATAAATTCTTTAAAAATGTAAATTCCTGGATTTTTTTTTTTTTACATTCTGTCTCTCACAGTTGAAGTGAACCTATGATGAACATTACAGACCTCTGTCATTATTTTAAGTGGGAGAACTTGCACAATCGGTGGCTGACTAAATACTTTTTTGCCCCACTGTACATACAAATACCAACACACACACACACACACATACACACACATACACACACACACACACATACGCACCTATACATGTACAAACATACACACACATACACACACATACGCACATACGCACCTATACTGTACATGTACAAACATACACACACATACACACACATACGCACATACGCACCTATACATGTACAAACATACACACACATACACACACATACGCACCTATACATACACACACACATATTCACTGTTTTCTTTTTCTTTTTTAGAGGATGTGACTATTTTTATTATTAAAGCTGTAGTACTTAAGTTTCAAACCACAACAACTATGTGTCAAACCATCGAGGTGCACCTGGTTTTGTTGTTGTTTGTTTTATTGTTTTAGATTATATGATTATTATACTGGCCTGTCCTGCATAAGTCCTGGGTTACACCTGGTTTAGACCTGGATTAGACCTGGTTTAGTCCAGGTTTCATGCTGGTTTTGTCCTGGTCCAGACTTGTATCAGACACCAATGCCACTCCAGACTAGAATCAGCTCATTCTGCTAAAAGAGTAAAAGTCCGAGTTGTGACGTGTGGAACTAAGATCACTTTCTCTGGACTCTTCTCTCTCTGAAAACTGTAAAAATGCCGCAGCAGCAGAATCTCACACGGACCGAGCCACAGTGAAAGTTGCCGATATTGAAGACAAGTCTAACCTCAGAGCTCACCTTGTGCAGCGACGCCCACCAGCGGCCTGAGCGGTGCGGTGTCAGCAGTGCATCATGGGAAATGAGGAGTGGGTGGGTGACCTGGTGACCTCTCAATCGCTGGTTGCAGGCCACGTCACCTCTCTCTCCATCTCTCCATCTCTCCATCGATTGCTCGCTCTCACATGTGCAGGAGCAGAACTAAACTATTCTGCAGTTATGTTGGGGACATGTGAGGTCTGTGTTGTTAGTTGTGTTTGTTAGCCGCTCTTTACACTGCAAAAAATGATCGAATATGAGGTAATAAAGGCTTGAATCGAGGCTTGTTCATATGTTTTTTATATGAACCCTTTTCACCGCTAGATTTTTTCCTAAAGCGCTCAATTGTGACATATTCATTTCAAAAGGCTGCAACTAAAATGTATAACTCCATCTCTCCCTCTACCTCCCTCGGTCTCCTCAGCTTCCCCCGCTCTCCTTCGGCCTCCCTCTGCCTCCCCCGCTCTCCTCCATCTCTCCCTACAGTAATAAGTATCTGTTTGAAACTGAAAAGTACTGAATGATATACTGTATCTACAGCGGTACTTGAAGAAGCCATATGATATTTACATTTATTTTTACATAAAATATATACTGTACAGCTCAAGACCAGGACTGAGGCTGTAGACCCAGTACTGAGGCTGTAGATCCAGGACTGAGACTGTAGACCCAGGACTGAGGCTGTAGATTCAGGACTGAGGCTGTAGACCCAGGACTGAGGCTGTAGATACAGGACTGAGGCTGCAGATACAGGATTGAGGCTGTAGACCCAGGACTGAGGCTGTAGACCCAGGACTTAGGCTGTAGCCCCAGGACTGAGGCTGTAGACCCAGGACTGAGGCTGTAGATCCAGGACTGAGGCTGTAGATCCAGGACTGAGGCTGTAGACCCAGGACTGAGGCTGTAGACCCAGGACTGAGGCTGTAGACCCAGGACTGAGGCTGTAGATCCAGGACTGAGGCTGTAGATCCAGGACTGAGACTGTAGACCCAGGACTGAGGCTGTAGATCCAGGACTGAGGCTGTAGACCCAGGACTGAGGCTGTAGACCCAGGACTGAGGCTGTAGATCCAGGACTGACGCTGTAGACCCAGGACTGTGGCTGTAGACCCAGGACTGAGGCTGTAGATCCAGGACTGAGGCTGTAGACCCAGGACTGAGGCTGTAGACCCAGGACTGAGGCTGTAGATACAGGATTGAGGCTGTAGACCCAGGACTGAAGCTGTAGACCCAGGACTTAGGCTGTAGCCCCAGGACTGAGGCTGTAGACCCAGGACTGAGGCTTTAGATCCAGGACTGAGGCTGTAGATCCAGGACTGAGGCTGTAGACCCAGGACTGAGGCTGTAGATACAGGATTGAGGCTGTAGACCCAGGACTGAAGCTGTAGACCCAGGACTTAGGCTGTAGCCCCAGGACTGAGGCTGTAGACCCAGGACTGAGGCTGTAGATCCAGGACTGAGGCTGTAGATCCAGGACTGAGGCTGTAGACCCAGGACTGAGGCTGTAGACCCAGGACTGAGGCTGTAGACCCAGGACTGAGGCTGTAGATCCAGGACTGAGGCTGTAGATCCAGGACTGAGGCTGTAGACCCAGGACTGAGGCTGTAGACCCAGGACTGAGGCTGTAGACCCAGGACTGAGGCTGTAGATCCAGGACTGAGGCTGACTCTCGGTGCAAATATGAAAATGATTGTGTGCTTCCTGGACGGCGTGTTGTTGGTGAGCGGTGGTGATGTCGCAGCCTCAGGGAGAAGCTGTTGACAGGGAGCAGTGCCAGAGGTAAACCGTGATCTGTGGACCAGCAAACGGAATAAATGAGATAAACTGGGACTAGAGTCTGTGGACCATCGTAGTGAAGACACATGGTACAAGATTTACCGAGACATTCACTCTGTTCACAGCGGTTTGTATGAATTATGACTCCAAAACAAACAAATAATTGAATAAAACAAAAGACACATGTATAATGCAACTGTTCAGGCTGCGCAGGTCTATGCTTCCTGCTGCTGTCAGACTGTACAACGAACAATGAGAACTAACAAACACTGCCGACTATTATCTTGCTGCGTTGATGGTAGGTTAATCTGGGGTGTTATACCTCATTTTAAAGCTAAGTTTCTGAAGAAAACAACCATACGATTAGTTTTATTCTGAAATTATCTCTTTAAAATTGACCCAGTTTTGGTTCAGTCCAAACAAACAGTAACTTTTTATTAAGCGAGAGATTTTATACTTTGCTTGAGATGTGGTTCTATTTTAGTTAAATTATTGCACAGATGGACGATACGTGAAGTCAGGTCGGCAAATGGATTTTTTGACATAAACTTGATCAAATTTATATTTCCAAACTTGTTGATGTATGACACACTCCAAACAGTGATGAGAAATGGGTCAACTTTGGCAAAATGTGTCTAAATTAGAGCTTTGAAGCAAGATTTTCCAATGGGACCAAGCAAAAATGATCTCTTTTTAAAAAGGTACAGAAATGTGTTCCTTGGAATGAGAAAATAAAGCAACAGTTCTTGAAATAAAAGTAAATGTCTTTCTCCCGTTGGAGAATCTGGTGTAATCACAATGTGTCAGATTAAGATAAAAACCACTATATTTATATTTTTGCAGTGCATCTTGTATAGTTTACATTACAATGTTGTCGTTGTGTTGTCGTGTTTTTGTGTTATTGTGTTATTGTGTCATTGTGTTGTGGTGTTGCCAGAGCCGGTTATAATCACTTCTCCTCGTGGGCAGCAGGCTTTGGCCGAAGGCGCAGCAGGCGCAGAGGGCCACGGTGGGACCCCAGAACTCTCCCAGGTCCCGTCTGGGGCCCATTACCAGCCGCTGCCACAGATCCCCGCTCTGCAAACTTCACTTTCTATGGAATATACATTTACAAACAGGAGCGGGGCATTTGTTCTGACAGGACGTCCCTCGGCACTTGATCCATGCCTAACGTCCCCTAACGTCCCCGAACGGCCACATGTCCACAGGGCCCCAGGGCCACGGGGCCACGGGGCCACGGGGCCACGGGGCCGCTGCACACGTCTTACACATTATTGTATCATTCTTGTTTATCACAGACTTGAGTAAGAGCAGATTCTTAAACAAAGACAAAGAAAAGAAAAAAGCATAAATACATTGTACTTATTTGGGACATTTACAGATCAAGATTCCAAAGAGACAAATGTAACACATTTAGAAAAATAACATGTATTGGAAGAAGAGGAATATTTAAGATAAGAGATAAGATAAGATGTGCTTTATTTATCTCACATAGGAGAAATGTACATGTCACATTTGACATGGATAGAACACTCAGATTGTGCAAAAGGAGGAAATGTGCAAACATGTTACATGCAGGATATATATGTACAATAAAAGTGTCAATTGGAAACAGTGTCAATAGTAGTGCAGGTTTTCACACAGTGATCATTTAAAGTGACTTATTGTACAGTCTGACAGCAGTGGGGATAAAGGCCCTGCGGTAGCGCTCCTTCCTACACTGAGGGTGCCTCAGTCTTCCACTGAAGGAGCTCCTCAGCTCATAAATAAAAATAAATAAATAAAAACAATAAAATACCATTTTAGTGAAGTACTGGAACAAAACAAGCTAAAACATATAAAACAAGCTGACAGATCTATTGATCTCAGTATTAAGTAAGTAAGTAATCTTTATTTATATACCGCCTTTCACAGACCAGAGTCACAAAGCGGTTTACAATTGTTATTATTTTTTGGGCATTGGTCCACTCACTCCACACAGAGATGGGAGCGGGGTCGCCAGTACAGGAGGCGCATGCCAGACCTATTGTGCATGTTTTTGGTGGTAGGGGAAACCGGAGTACCCGGAGGAAACCTACGCAGACACGGGGAGAACATGCAAACTCCACTCAGAAAGGCCCTGGTCCGGCCGGGATTCGAACCCAGGACCTTCTTGCTGAGAGGCGAGAGTGCTATCCACTCAGCCACCGTGCCGCCCAATATTGATCTAAAACAGATGTTAAACCATGGCCCGTGGGCCAAACCCGGCCTGGGTTTGAAATCCTTTTCATTGATCATTGTTACAGTAACTTGCAGCATTGATGGTAATGGGAGACTGGCCGTACTTTCTCAGGAAAACCACCAGAAGATAGAATTTGTTCTAAAGTGTTAACAAACATGTACATTTTTATATTTAACTAAGAATCTTCAATTATGTCTTATTTTGATATTTGTTCCAGTTGTGATTGAATCCAAACCTATTAGAAAATAAAACTCATGTCAAATTAAATACATTGTTGAGAATGAATAATAATAATAATAATAATAATAATAATAATAATAATAATAATAATATATATGATGATAATAAAAGTAAAACACTTTTATACTTTTGGTCCAAACTTGTTCTTGTGTTGTTAAACTTGGCCCAGACCTTAATAATCTAAAACAAAGTGAGAAACAGTCCTGTTCCACGACACACGTCTCGCTGCTGAGTTCAGATCTGTGAGATTTCTGAAGTTTATCTTTTGTGGTGAAGCGTCCGGAGTCGCAGCTGTTTTCAGATGGCCTGGTTAGATACAAAACTGCATCGTAGAATAAATGTGCAACTTCACCAAACTAAAGTGTGTCGACATTTCTCTCACTCTGTGTGTGGTGTCTGTCTCTGTGTGTGGTGTCTGTCCTGAGTCTCTGTGTGTGGTGTCTGTCCTGAGTCTATGTGTGTGGTGTCTGTCTCTGTGTGTGGTGTCCGTCCTGAGTCTCTGTGTGTGGTGTCCGTCCTGAGTCTCTGTGTGTGGTGTCTGTCCTGAGTCTATGTGTGTGGTGTCTGTCTCTGTGTGTGGTGTCCGTCCTGAGTCTCTGTGTGTGGTGTCCGTCCTGAGTCTCTGTGTGTGTGGTGTCCGTCCTGAGTCTCTGTGTGTGGTGTCTGTCTCTGTGTGTGGTGTGTCTGTCCTGAGTTCTCTGTGTGTGGTGTCCGTCCTGAGTCTCTGTGTGTGGTGTCTGTCCTGAGCCTCTGTGTGTGGTGTCCGTCCTGAGTCTCTGTGTGTGGTGTCCGTCCTGAGTCTCTGTGTGTGGTGTCCGTCCTGAGTCTCTGTGTGTGGTGTCTGTCCTGAGCCTCTGTGTGTGGTGTCTGTCTCTGTGTGTGGTGTCTGTCCTGAGTCTCTGTGTGTGGTGTCCGTCCTGAGTCTCTGTGTGTGGTGTCCGTCCTGAGTCTCTGTGTGTGGTGTCCGTCCTGAGTCTCTGTGTGTGGTGTCTGTCTCTGTGTGTGGTGTCTGTCCTGAGTCTCTGTGTGTGGTGTCCGTCCTGAGTCTCTGTGTGTGGTGTCTGTCTCTGTGTGTGGTGTCCGTCCTGAGTCTCTGTGTGTGGTATCCGTCCTGAGTCTCTGTGTGTGGTGTCTGTCTCTGTGTGTGGTGTCCGTCCTGAGTCTCTGTGTGTGGTGTCCGTCCTGAGTCTCTGTGTGTGGTGTCCGTCCTGAGTCTCTGTGTGTGGTGTCTGTCTCTGTGTGTGGTGTCTTGTGTGTGGTGTCCTGAGTCTCTGTGTGTGGTGTCCGTCCTGAGTCTCTGTGTGTGGTGTCTGTCTCTGTGTGTGGTGTCCGTCCTGAGTCTCTGTGTGTGGTGTCCGTCCTGAGTCTCTGTGTGTGGTGTCCGTCCTGAGTCTCTGTGTGTGGTGTCCGTCCTGAGTCTCTGTGTGTGGTGTCTGTCCTGAGTCTCTGTGTGTGGTGTCTGTCCTGAGTCTCTGTGTGTGGTGTCTGTCCTGAGTCTCTGTGTGTGGTGTCTGTCCTGAGTCTACTGTATGTGTGTGGTGTCTGTCTCTGTGTGTGGTGTCCGTCCTGAGTCTCTGTGTGTGGTGTCTGTCCTGAGTCTACTGTATGTGTGTGGTGTCTGTCTCTGTGTGTGGTGTCCGTCCTGAGTCTCTGTGTGTGGTATCCGTCCTGAGTCTCTGTGTGTGTGGTGTCCGTCCTGAGTCTCTGTGTGTGGTGTCCGTCCTGAGTCTCTGTGTGTGGTGTCCGTCCTGAGTCTCTGTGTGTGGTGTCCGTCCTGAGTCTCTGTGTGTGGTGTCCGTCCTGAGTCTCTGTGTGTGGTGTCTGTCTCTGTGTGTGGTGTCTGTCCTGAGTCTCTGTGTGTGGTGTCTGTCTCTGTGTGTGGTGTCCGTCCTGAGTCTACTGTATGTGTGTGGTGTCTGTCTCTGTGTGTGGTGTCCGTCCTGAGTCTCTCTGTGTGTGGTATCCGTCCTGAGTCTCTGTGTGTGGTGTCTGTCTCTGTGTGTGGTGGTGTCCGTCCTGAGTCTCTGTGTGTGGTGTCCGTCCTGAGTCTCTGTGTGTGGTGTCCGTCCTGAGTCTCTGTGTGTGGTGTCTGTCTCTGTGTGTGGTGTCTGTCCTGAGTCTCTGTGTGTGGTGTCTGTCCTGAGTCTCTGTGTGTGGTGTCTGTCCTGAGTCTATGTGTGTGGTGTCTGTCTCTGTGTGTGGTGTCCGTCCTGAGTCTCTGTGCGTGGTGTCTGTCCTGAGTCTCTGTGTGTGGTGTCTGTCCTGAGTCTATGTGTGTGGTGTCTGTCTCTGTGTGTGGTGTCCGTCCTGAGTCTCTGTGTGTGGTGTCCGTCCTGAGTCTCTGTGTGTGGTGTCCGTCCTGAGTCTCTGTGTGTGGTGTCTGTCTCTGTGTGTGGTGTCTGTCCTGAGTCTCTGTGTGTGGTGTCTGTCCTGAGTCTCAGTGGGTTCGTCTGGGGCTAAAGAGCTCTGACCCTACACCCGTGACCCTCGCAGACTATGGCCATTACCACAAACCCAGAGCTATTATCAGACACAGCCAGTACTATTACACTGCAAAAAGTTAGGATTCATGCATTTATTAGGCAGGCACGGACGCAATAGCGATCATTTAATGCAGCACACAATGGTCAGTGACACAACGCAAAACATACACTGCAAAAAAATGATGACAATATGAGGTAATGATTATAGACATTGAAATCACACTGGTAATTAAAAACATTAAAACATTAAAATCACAGAGAATAGGATCTTAAAAAACACAGTGCATAAAAAACAAACATTAGATTCACATTGAACAAGAACATCACTAAAATATAGAATTATAAATCTCACAATGGATTTAACTAATACTGGAAACACAACAAACCAACCTCAAAACTCTAAGTATGGATGTGAAACTTAACTTCTGGTTGCATAATGGGAGGAATAATGGAACGGCCTCATCTCAGCTTAGAGACTCTTCATAGTGGAAATAACAAACACTGAGGCCAACTGCAGCAATTTAAACCAGTCAAACCATTAGCCCCTCAGCAGCAGCAGCTAATGACAGACGCAGCAGACATTTTGCAGCAGTAACTACGGCCTGAATCATTCATGGTGAGGACCCAGACCCAGACCCTCAAACCCCCCCAGACCCTCAAACCCTGCCCAGATCAAATCAACCCGAACCTGTTTATGCATTGGTTCCATGGACTCTGTGGCACGTCGCGCTCTGCATTGCAAATGGGGGAAGCAGGTAATGAAGCCTGTACGGTGTGAAAAGGCCAATTACCGAGGTGCGTGGAGGCTGGGACCAGAGCGAGACCGGGCTCCCTCCAGGCTAAAGACAGAGACCAGTAAACACCTCATCAGCTGATGAGGCACACAACTGCACTGCTCCATGGGCCTCGCTCTCACTGCAGTCAGAGGTACAGGCCCAGACCGGGAGGACAGACACCATAAAGATACATGTGACATCACCTGGGCAGGAGACATACATGTGACATCACCAGAGCAGTAAAGAGAGGGACTCCATCCAAACATAAGCCATAGTTTCAGAGTATAGCTACGGTCACAAGCACAGCCTAAAGCCCGTTAAAGTGGATCTAGGTCCAGAACGTGATCAGTTCCAGGCTTTAGGTCCCGTGTGACCGCGACATGCTCGAGCTGGGGCCACAGGAGCCGAACGTAAACAGGGAGAGAAACGAAAACTTAACTTGTACCTTGAAGGAGTCGCTGAAGTTAGTATTAGCGCCACCAGCTCGACCGGAGCTGCTTCTGTCCGAGGGCCGTCTTGGTTTGTTTGTGAAAACCTTTGTGATTGAGTGTTATGAAAAGGCTCCTGGGGGCCTCAGTGCCACTACAGGGGGGGTTGGGTGTTTGACTTTTTGGTTTTGAGTTTTAACTAATGAAAGATGCTACATTCCCAGAGTTGGTCTTTAAAGGCTGCTTTCCAAAAAAGGACAGATCATTTCTTTCAACAAATATTTGATTTTGGTGAAATTGTCCAGATTATCCTAAAACCTGATGGAGCTGATCGCTTGAATGTTATGTTTTGCGTTTGTCCATTTTGTGAAGCCCAGTTCTGACGGTAAGATCCTATAAACTTTATTGATCTCACAACGCAGACATGTAGATGTATGTGTGTGCTTGACAGAACAAGTCAGATCTCATCTGAGACGACAATGGACACGTGTATGAAACATGTATCACAAAAGAGTTGAGTTGAATTCTGAGGAGGAGGAACTGGACATAGGGGCAGAGATGGAGGAGTAGGCAGGACAGGAGCACAGGAGGAGGAGAGACCGGATACAACTGAGGAGGAGAAGGAGGAGAAGAGAGCAGACACAGGAGAAGAGGAAAAGGGAGTGGAGACAGGAGTAAAGGATAGATGGAACTTGAATTGAACTGTAATGTACATGGTCCATATTCACAGAGATGGGAGGAAGAGGAGATGGAGGAGGAGGAAGAGGAGGTGGAGGTGGTGGAGACGGCAGGAGCAGGAGCACCTCCAGCGGGGGGCCCTGGTGTCAGCGGTGAAGCGGGGTCAGAGTGGGAGAGGTGAAAATGAAAAGTGTGCAGGCAGCGTCTCTCACCTCTTCCCAGACAGGACCCCTCCCTCCCCACCCCCCGCGGCCCCCCACGGCCCCCCGCGGTCCCCTGTGTCTGTGTGTGGGAGGGGGCAGGTGCCTCACAGCTGGTCCTCCTCATCGGACTGCTCCTCCTGGTCCTAGTGTTGGTATTCTACTGCGACCGTGGGCAATGTGCAATCCTGCAATCTCAGAATGTCACTTTTTATTCTGACACACATGTATACTTTCTCTCTCATGTAGAGAGAGAGAGAGAGAGAGAGAGAGAAAGACAGAGAGAGAGACAGAGAGCGAGAGAGAGAGAGAGAGAGGGAGAGAGACAGAGAGAGAGAGAGAGAGAGAGAGAGGGAGAGAGAGAGGGAGAGAGACAGAGAGAGAGAGAGAGAGAGAGAGAGAGAGAGACAGAAAGAGAGATAGAGAGAGGGAGAGACAGAGAGAGAGAGGGATAGACAGAGAGAGAGAGGGGGAGAGAGCAAGAGAGAGAGAGAGACAGAGAGAGGGAGAGACAGAAAGAGAGAGGGAGAGACAGAGAGAGAGAGGGATAGACAGAGAGAGAGAGGGGGAGAGAGCGAGAGAGAGAGAGAGACAGAGAGAGAGGGAGAAAGAGAGAGAGACAGCGAGAGAGAGAGAGAAAGAGAGAGAGCGAGAGAGACAGACAGACAGAGAGAGATGGATGGATAAAGAGAGAGGGATGTATGGGTAGAGAGAGAGAGAGAAAGAGAGGAATGGATGGATAACGAGAGAGAGCGATGAATGGACAGTGAGCACAGTCCATACACACACGTTTTAGTCATATTTGTATTTCTAAATTGTATAACTGGTGTTTTATTGTTTTTATTAAATATTTTACTTTGTACATAATGTTTTACTTGATCTATTTTTTCTAACATAAAGCGGCAAAATGTCTGACTTTGGTATCATAAAGAAACAAGTCTGAATCATAAATATAATAATCAATAATCACAGTTAATCAAAAAGAGTAAATTCATCTTAAGTTTCACAGGTTTTCACTGCGGTCACACGAACGCTACTGAAGACACGCAGCTCAGACGGTGAAGGTCAGTGCTTTAGACCAGTCTGAGACAAACAGGAGGAGGAGGAGGAAGAGGAGGAGGAGGAGGAAGAGGAGGAGGAGGGACTGGATACAGGAGCAGAGGAGGAGGAGGAAGAGGAGGAGGTGGGACTGGATACAGGAGCAGAGGAAGAGTAGGAGGTGGGACTGGATACAGGAGCAGAGGAGGAGGAGGAAGAGGAGGAGGAAGAGGAGGAGGAGGGACTGGATACAGGAGCAGAGCAGGAGGAAGAGGATGAAGAGGAGGAGGAGGGACTGGATACAGGAGCAGAGGAGGAGGAGGAAGAGGAGGAGGTGGGACTGGATACAGGAGCAGAGGAAGAGTAGGAGGTGGGACTGGATACAGGAGCAGAGGAGGAGGAGGAAGAGGAGGAGGAGGGACTGGATACAGGAGCAGAGCAGGAGGAAGAGGATGAAGAGGAGGAGGTGGGAATGGATACAGGAGCAGAGGAGGAGGAGGAAGAGGAGGAGGTGGGACTGGATACAGGAGCAGAGGAGGAGGAGGAAGAGGAGGAGGAAGAGGAGGAGGAGGGACTGGATACAGGAGCAGAGCAGGAGGAAGAGGATGAAGAGGAGGAGGTGGGAATGGATACAGGAGCAGAGGAGGAGGAGGAAGAGGAGGAGGTGGGACTGGATACAGGAGCAGAGGAAGAGGAGGAGGAAGAGGAGGAAGAGGAGGAAGAGGAGGAGGTGGGACTGGATACAAGAGCAGAGGAGGAGGAGGAAGAGGAGGAGGTGGGACTGGATACAGGAGCAGAGGAAGAGGAGGGACTTTAAACCAGTCTGAGACAAACAGGAGCAGAGGAGGAGGAGGATTGGTTTAAAACAACCATAAGTTGTCAGGAAAAGTTAAAATCCCCAACACCTGAACTCCTTTATTACCAAGTTGTTTCCTTGGTTAATAAAGGAGAAGGAGGAGGAGAAGGAGGAGGAGAAGGAGGAGGATGAGAAGGAGGAGGAGAAGAGGAGGAGGAGAAATTAAATTCAATGTATTTTGCATAGCCCTACATCACAACAGCAGCTGTGCATTCATCAACACAGATCAGATCAATGATAGAAAACCATGTCGATAAACAGAGATGCAACCAATACCCACATTTTAAATTCACATTAGCATCACGACAGCAAACAGCAAGAAAGCGCTTGCTGCTAGCGTAGCTTAGCCGGTAGCCTAGCGGAAAGATTGACGCAAATGGATCTCAGGCGTATGGCAGTTTTTTAAAGTATACGAGTGATGAGAGTAGAGTGGACTGTACGTTGTGTAAAACTGTCACAAGTTTAGTCCAAAACAAACACGTATAACACCAGCAACTTCAAACATCTGAAAACTCACCACCGCATGGAGTATAGCTAGCACCGGAGCTAGCACCGGAGCTAGCACCGGAGCTAGCACCGGAGCTAGCACCAGAGCTAGCACCAGAGCTAGCACCAGAGCTAGCACCGGAGAAACAACTCTAGCGTTTGTGGAATATGACAGTGGCTCTTTTTGTTGACTGTTAAAACAATTGCTGAAATGTTTGATTTTTAAAGCATTTTCTTCTTGTTGAAATGAGAAATAAAACATTTTAAACTTCAGTTGAATCAGTTTTATGAATTCCCAGGATAACACACTGCAGTGATATTTACAGTCTATGTTATTGACACTCGGTATCAGCAAGTGCTCAAATTAAGGGACTGGTACTCGTATCGGTTAGGAAAGACGTGGTATTGGTGCATCCCTATCCATAAATGTTAACAAAGTGCATAAATGTTGTTGAATAGAGGAGGAGGAGGAGGAGGAGGAGGAGGAGGAGGAGGAGGAGGAGGAGGAGGAGGAGGAAGAGGAGGAGGAGGAGGAGGAGGAGGAGGAGGCCTGGCTGCAGATGCGTTTCCATGCACACAGAGCTGGCCGTGGCGGCGGTCGGGTGGGAGGATGTGAGGCAGAAGACTACTCCCTTTGCGAAGCTTTGTTGTGTGACAGAGACAGCCCACCCTAACAGTCCCACCCTAACATTCCCACCCTAACATTCCCACCCTAACATTCCCACTCTAACATTCCCACCCTAACATTCCCACCCTAACATTCCCACTCTAACATTCCCACCCTAACATTCCCACTCTAACATTCCCACCCTAACATTCCCACCCTAACATTCCCACTCTAACATTCCCACCCTAACATTCCCACCCTAACATTCCCACCCTAACATCACCATTCCCACCCTAACATTCCCACCCTAACATTCCCACTCTAACATTCCCACCCTAACATTCCCACCCTAACATTCCCACCCTAACATTCCCACCCTAACATTCCCACCCGACATTCCCACCCTAACATTCCCACCCTAACATTCCCACCCTAACATTCCCACTCTAACATTCCCACCCTAACATTCCCACCCTAACATTCCCACCCTAACATTCCCACCCTAACATTCCCACCCTAACATTCCCACCAAACATTCCCACTCTAACATTCCCACCCTAACATTCCCACCCTAACATTCCCACCCTAACATTCCCACTCTAACATTCCCACTCTAACATTCCCACCCTAACATTCCCACCCTAACATTCCCACTCTAACATTCCCACCCTAACATTCCCACCCTAACATTCCCACCCTAACACCACTCTAACATTCCCACCTAACATTCCCACCCTAACATTCCCACCCTAACATTCCCACCCTAACATTCCCACCCTAACATTCCCACTCTAACATTCCCACCCTAACACATTCCCACCCTAACATTCCCACCCTAACATTCCCACCCCTATACATTCCCACCCTAACATTCCCACCCTAACATTCCCACCCTAACATTCCCACCCTAACATTCCCACTCTAACATTCCCACCTAACATTCCCACCCTAACATTCCCACCCTAACATTCCCACCCACATCCCCCTAACATTCCCACCCTAACATTCCCACCCTAACATTCCCACCCTAACATTCCCACCCTAACATTCCCCACCACACATTCCCACCCTAACATTCCCACCCTAACATTCCCACCCTACAACTTCCCACCCTACATTCCCACCCTAACATTCCCACCCTAACATTCCACCTAACATTCCCCCAACATTCCCTAACATTCCCACCCTAACATTCCCACCCTAACATTCCCACCCTAACATTCCCACCCTAACATTCCCATTCCACCGACGTTCCTCCCACCCTAACATTCCCACCCTAACACATTCCCACCCTAACATTCCCACCCTAACATTCCCACCCTAACATTCCCACCCTAACATTCCCACCCTAACATTCCCACCCTAACATTCCCACCCTAACATTTAACCCACCCTAACATTCCCACCTAACATTCCCACCCTAACATTCCCACCCTAACATTCCCACCCTAACATTCCCACCCTAACATTCCCACCCATTCCCAACATTCCCACCCTAACATTCCCACCCTAACATTCCCACCCTAACCCACCCTAACATTCCCACTCTAACATTCCCACCCTAACATTCCCACCCTAACATTCCCACTCTAACATTCCCACCCTAACATTCCCACCCTAACATTCCCACCTAACATTCCCACCCTAACATTCCCACCCTAACATTCCCACCCTAACATTCCCACCCTAACACATTCCCCCCACCCTAACATTTAACATTCCCACCCTAACATTCCCACCCTAACACCCTTCCCCCACCCTCCCAACATTCCCACCCTAACATTCCCACCTAACATTCCCACCCTAACATTCCCACCCTAACATTCCCACTCTAACATTCCCACCCTAACATTCCCACCCTAACATTCCCACCCTAACATTCCCACTCTAACATTCCCACCCTAACATTCCCACCCTAACATTCCCACCCTAACATTCCCACTCTAACATTCCCACTCTAACATTCCCACCCTAACATTCCCACCCTAACATTCCCACCCGACGTTCCCACCCTAACATTCCCACCCTAACATTCCCACCCTAACATTCCCACCCTAACATTCCCACTCTAACATTCCCACTCTAACATTCCCACCTTAACATTCCCACCCTAACATTCCCACCCTAACATTCCCACCCTAACATTCCCACCCTAACATTCCCACTCTAACATTCCCACTCTAACATTCCCACCCTAACATTCCCACCCTAACATTCCCACCCTAACATTCCCACCCTAACATTCCCACCCGACGTTCCCACCCTAACATTCCCACCCTAACATTCCCACCCTAACATTCCCACCCTAACATTCCCACCGACGTTCCCACCCTAACATTCCCACCCTAACATTCCCACCCTAACATTCCCACTCTAACATTCCCACTCTAACATTCCCACCCTAACATTCCCACTCTAACATTCCCACCCTAACATTCCCACTCTAACATTCCCACCCTAACATTCCCACCCTAACATTCCCACTCTAACCTTCCCACTCTAACATTCCCACCCTAACATTCCCACCCTAACATTCCCACCCTAACATTCCCACCCTAACATTCCCACCCTAACATTCCCACTCTAACATTCCCACCCTAACATTCCCACCCTAACATTCCCACTCTAACATTCCCACTCTAACATTCCCACCCTAACATTCCCACCCTAACATTCCCACCCTAACATTCCCACCCTAACATTCCCACCCGACGTTCCCACCCTAACATTCCCACCCTAACATTCCCACCCGACGTTCCCACCCTAACATTCCCACCCTAACATTCCCACCCGACGTTCCCACCCTAACATTCCCACCCTAACATTCCCACCCTAACATTCCCACCCTAACATTCCCACCCTAACATTCCCACTCTAACATTCCCACCCTAACATTCCCACTCTAACATTCCCACTCTAACATTCCCACCCTATCATTCCCACCCTAACATTCCCACCCTAACATTCCCACCCTAACATTCCCACCCTAACATTCCCACCCGACGTTCCCACTCTAACATTCCCACCCTAACATTCCCACTCTAACATTCCCACTCTAACATTCCCACCCTAACATTCCCACCCTAACATTCCCACTCTAACATTCCCACCCTAACATTCCCACCCTAACATTCCCACTCTAACATTCCCACTCTAACATTCCCACCCTAACATTCCCACCCTAACATTCCCACCCTAACATTCCCACCCTAACATTCCCACTCTAACATTCCCACTCTAACATTCCCACCCTAACATTCCCACCCTAACATTCCCACCCTAACATTCCCACTCTAACATTCCCACCCTAACATTCCCACCCTAACATTCCCACCCTAACATTCCCACCCGACGTTCCCACCCTAACATTCCCACTCTAACATTCCCACCCTAACATTCCCACTCTAACATTCCCACTCTAACATTCCCACCCTAACATTCCCACCCTAACATTCCCACCCTAACATTCCCACCCTAACATTCCCACCCTAACATTCCCACTCTAACATTCCCACTCTAACATTCCCACCCGACGTTCCCACCCTAACATTCCCACCCTAACATTCCCACCCTAACATTCCCACCCTAACATTCCCACCCTAACATTCCCACCCTAACATTCCCACCCTAACATTCCCACTCTAACATTCCCACTCTAACATTCCCACCCGACGTTCCCACCCTAACATTCCCACCCTAACATTCCCACCCGACGTTCCCTATATTTGGCCTTGAATACAATTGCAGGTTTGAGAGTGACAAAACGGCCGGGGCCAAGGGAGACGGCGAGAGCGGAGGACGGCCAGAGAATTACACATGTAGAGAAACGGTGAAGGTTGCTGCTGTCTGCGTCTGAGGGACAATAACATTAACTTTTCACACTGAATTATTTACCTACTAATTTGTATTTATTTACTAATTTAATTGTATTTAAGACAGTACATAATAATCAACGTGTCTGCAAACAGCGTCAACATAAATAGTCTGGAATTAGCATGATAGCTAACATGCATCCATTGTCCTAAGGATCCATTGACTTTGATAAAAGTCAGTAATATTTAATCTTTATATAAAATAATAGCAGGATTCTATTTCAATATATTTAATGAACAACGAGAAAAGGGGTTTATTAAGCTTTGGACTCCTTTCAATCATGAATACGTGTTAAGTCTTGTTGACATTTTTTATCTTTTTGTTGTTGTCTTGTTCTTATTATTGTTATTTTTTTCTTACTCTGTTGTTTTTATTCTAAGTTCAAACAAACGTTAATTTATTCATACGTTTATCGATAGAAAATCAGGGTAAATTTATTGACAATTATGGACACTGACAGCTGTGTTTGATATCACTGCATTTCCTGTCCTGAACCGTATGATTCTCTGATCTGGTGTTGGTGAATTGACAACTGTGTAAACACCTCTGAGATGTTGCTGTGTTTGATTTGAAGCTGCACGAAAATAAATTGAAATGAATTGAATTGAATTGAAGAACAGAAATTTATGTTTTGAATATTTGCCATGTTTTGTTCATAGCGTTACTCATTTTAAGAAAGGGGGAGAAACTTTAATTGAATTGCTCTAAAATAAATGTGTTTTTCAAAATTCAAGTTATTCACGTATTTTTCACCCCCTGTTTCAGCAAATCCAACACAAACATATTATATTGTTGAGTTCTAGCGTCTGTGTCTGTGGGAGCGGATCCTTCTCTCGGTCCGGGCCTCTCTCACTGCAAAAGATGACAGAATTATAGACAAATAAATGCTCAAATTTGGCTAAATGTATCTAAATTTGAGCACATTTTGACTGCCTTAAAACAAGATTTTCCAGTGGAACAAGAAAAATTGTCTTGTTTTAAAAAGATACAAGATATTTTTCTCTTGGAATGAGAAAATAAAGCAATAGTTCTTGAATCAAGTCAAAATTGCTTGTCTCATTGGCAAATCTCATTTTAAGACAGTCAGAATGAACTTCAGTCAAGTTAAAAAAAACTCGATTCTAGCAATTATGATCTCATATTTGATCATTTTTTGCAGTGTTCTCACTTTCTCCCACTGTTTCTTCCTTCAGT